TGTTGTCGTTGTGAAAGAAGAAGTCAAACTTCTGATAAAAGAGAAACGAGCTGCCCTGATCATGTGCCCGGCTGTGGCTCAATGTCAAAAAGAGACGTTTACCTATGTACACACACACGTGGCTTTGAAGACCGATTCTCTATCATCTGTGATCTCATTGTTGATGTGTCTCCGATGCAGATCTGAAGCTCCACCTGCAGAGCACAGACTATGGCAGCTTCCTGGCAAACGAGGCGTCGCCTCTGACCGTGTCCGTCATTGATGACAAGCTGAAGGAGAAGATGGTGGTGGAGTTTCGCCACATGAGGAACCAGTCGTATGAGCCACTGGCCAGCTTCATGGACTTTATCACGTAAGCTTTAAGGCAATAAATACATTGTTGTGTTAACACACAAAAAAATACTGTCTGAATAACATTGTGGAAGGATGTGGTTTGGTTCAGGTTAATATCAATTACATTTTGGTGCAGATCCAAATAAAACTGTGGCTATAGGAATTTGGTTTAAATTTCTCTGCGTTGTTCCTATAGAATTAATTCAGTCAAAGGTGTTACATGCACACGAGCATTGCTCTCACAGGTTACAGATTGTGAGTGAAAGGTAAAAGACACGTGCTCACATAACAGAAAACAGCATTAATGCCATTTGTTGGCTACACACAACAGAACACCAAGTCAGAGAGATCTTATGTGATTGTGAGAAGTCTAAAATGTTCTTGGTTCATTATGAAACTGCTCACTGCAGCTTAGATAATTAAAGGGAAGCGCTGCTTTGACATGGTGGGGGATATGTGCTCTCAGAGCGCCCCTCTAATCTGACTGTTAGCAGCATTACACAATAACGACTGCACAGATGACCACAACACTTGGTGGAAGGATGTGTCACAGTTCAGGGAAGAACCCATTCGTGTTTTGTGTTAATCCAGATCAGGGGATGAAGCCAGGATCATTTTTTAACAGACAGTGGAAAACACTTGTTACCTGCTGGTTCATGTTCATTCTACCAAAAAGCAGAAATGAGAAAATGGATCTAACTCCACACTGATGAGCTGGTTGTTCTACTTCGTCATGACAAATCCTCTCCTCCATGTGGCCTCAGGTACAGCTACATGATCGATAACGTCATCCTGCTGATCACGGGCACTCTGCACCAGCGGGCCATCTCTGAGCTGGTGCCCAAGTGTCACCCGCTGGGCAGCTTCGAGCAGATGGAGGCGGTCAACATCGCCCAGACCCCCGCCGAGCTGTACAACGCCATCCTGGTGGACACGCCCCTGGGTATGTGGCTCCACACAAACGCAAACTTACTACCAGAGTGTAAAAACTGAATCGTAACGTTACATCCTGAACAGCAGATGGCACCAAAGCTTATAGAAACATTCAAATTTTACTTTCTGTTGATTGGATGTAAATGTTCTTTTCAGCTGCATTCTTCCAGGACTGTATATCTGAACAGGACTTGGACGAGATGAACATTGAAATCATTCGTAACACACTATACAAGGTAAAACGTCGTGATAAACTAAATTAGTGATGTACTGTGTGTTTTTATGAAGTATTTTACTTTACAGAATTGAAGGCAGGAAGAAGTGAAGTGCAAGAAAGAGTCATAGTACATTTTATTGATAGAAAATAGAAAAACATGAGATGGAAATCCTAAGAAATAATTGGAAAAGATTCAAAACCATGTTATTTTTAATATGTTGTTAGTATGGTTGTTACACTAAGATTATATTTTCTATTTTTAATTCCAGCTTTTAGACAATTTTTTTCATGTGCTGTGTACAGGGATTTTAAAGACACTAAATCATCGACCATGTGTTATTATTATTAGTAGTAGTAGTAGTAGTAGTAGTAGTAGTAGTAGTAGTAGTAGTAGTATGGTTTCCTAGTTGATAGTTTCCTTCATTTTGTGCCTCGACCTTTCAGGCTTATCTGGAGGCGTTCTATAAGTTCTGCTCTAACCTTGGAGGAACCACAGCAGACACCATGTGTCCTATTCTGGAGGTGAGTCTCTGCCCGGTTCTAATAGATGGATTTACATTTCCTAGTAGTTTATATATGAGCAGCAGTGGGCGCGAAGATCACAGGTTGATTTCTCAGTGAATAGAAACGAGTGTGTTTTGTCTGTGGATCAAATTCTCGGTTCAGGTTGTTGTTTTGCTGATCTTCTGGTCTCTGCCGCAGTTCGAAGCCGACAGGAGAGCCTTCATCATCACCATCAACTCGTTCGGAACCGAGCTGTCCAAGGAGGACCGTGCCAAGCTCTTCCCTCACTGTGGCAAGCTTTACCCAGAAGGCCTTGCTCAGCTGGCCCGTGCCGACGACTACGAGCAGGTCAAGGCCGTTGCTGATTTCTATCCTGTAAGTCCAAAAACGTTTGGTCTCTGAACACCTGAGCATTTAAACACGCAGCCACTGAACCAGAAAAAGTGAATTCAGCCTGATTTGTTTTTGATCATTAGTCTGAGTCTGAACTTGCTTGTCCACGTCCTCAGGAGTACAAGCTGCTGTTTGAAGGCGCCGGCAGTAACCCTGGAGATAAAACACTGGAGGATCGCTTCTTTGAGCACGAGGTGACACACATCATCGTCATCACACACACACACACACACACACACACACACACACACTCACACTCACACACACTCACACTCACGTAACAACTTGTGTAGTAATCACAATCACAGACTTACTTGGATTTGTCTGTTTTGCATGTCGTCCATCTTCATATACAGTCTACGCTCCAGACCAATGTGCTGACACGTTATCGCGCTAACACGACATTGCACCTGATAACTGTCAGGTTTAGTTAGCGTTGTCGATGTTAGCACGCTAATGTAGCATTGGACTCGACCGATTGCGTTTCAGCGTCAGCTGTCAATCAAGACGTCTCAGCCCGTTTCTGTGTCATTAAAAAAGTCGTAGAAAATCAACTTAATCTGCAAAACGTGATCACTGGAACAAAAACTGTTAAAAGAAGTAAGTGAATAACAGAAACTACTGCTTGGACCTTCAGCTCTGTCCACGTCCTCTTCGCTAACATGGAGGAGGCGAGGAAGCGTTGTCCATCTATCTATAAAGTCCATGACTTTGTATTGTAGAACAGCTGCGTCACAAACACACTTGGTGCAGAGGAGTTTATTTGAATAGACATTATTCAAAGGGTCATGGAGTGCAGTGGTGGAGTTAATGATAATTTGAACACAGATGTGGCTCAGCAGCTCGTGCTTTGTTGTTGATTGACACCTGGATGACAAAGTTGGCGTCGGGCAGAGAGATTCTGAGTACAATAGAAAGTATGCGTATAAATACTTGGGCGCTTAATATGGTGCGGAACAATGGGTGAAGACACATTGACACATCTGCTGCTGTAGAAGCTGTGTTTGTTTTTCTAGGCTCAATGCTCTTTGTGTGCTCAATCTCCTCCTCGTGTCTCCTCGTGTCTCCTCGTGTCTCAGGTGAAGCTGAACAAGCTCGCCTTCCTCAACCAGTTCCACTTCAGCGTCTTCTACGCCTACGTCAAGTTGAAGGAGCAGGAGTGCAGGAACATCGTGTGGATCGCAGAGTGCATCGCCCAGCGGCACCGCGCCAAGATCGACAACTACATTCCCATCTTTTAAACCTGCTCCTCCTTCCTCTCTCCATCCTCCTCCTCTTCTTCCCTCCCGTCGTCATTTCATCCAGTCTTTCGTCTTGAACCGCGTCTCCGCTCACAGCTCGGTGTGAAAGATCGACGCTACATTTTGTCCATTCTTCACTCGCAGGTGTGAGTTGGTTCTGGACGCCTGAGTTTGCTTGTTGTCGTGTGATTCCCAGTCAGGCTCATTGTTGCTTAAAATAAAACTTATAATCAAATTAAACACAAAGTTTAACAAGAGGAAAATCAGCTCAGGTGGTTGGTGCTTGTTTTAATGAGGTAAAGGAGGCGACTGATTTGACTTTCAAACCCTCTCGCTGTCTAAACCTGATGACACAGTGTGTTCGAGCAAACACCAACCTCCTTTCTAGGATCATACTGATGAGCAGGAACACGAAAGAGCTGAAGGTGAAGTAAACTGTATGATTTCGATTAATCGCCGACCAAAGGTCATCGTCTTGTCGTCTGACCTTCAGCTCGTCAAAGCCGACATGAAAACATTCCTCTGCTCGGTGTGCGTCTCCAGCACATTCTATATATCTCTATTTATTTCTGTTTTGTGTGCGAGGTTTTGTCGGCATGTTTGGTCATTACTGTGGTTTTTTCCCCCCGAAACCTAACAAGTGAAATGTGTGAGCCCTGGATTGTGGTTAGATTAAAAAAAAAAAACAGGAGCTTCTGGTCGCCGTGTCTCTTCCTGTGTGAAGTTTGTCAATGAACGTGCTGGAATGAGGCAAAATCTTGTGAGTATATGACAAACGTAATGTTAAAACTATAAAAAGAAGATAAATAGATATTTAAAGATGACTATATGATTTTGTTTTTCTTATGCTGTACAAATGATGTATTGATTTATTTCTGTTTCTTGTGAAATGTGTATTGTAAATGTGGTTAGAGAAATAAACTGCACAAATGCAGCTCTACAGAAATGACCTTGAGACAGTAATTTATTCCGAGGATGTGAAGTCGAACGTGTCTATAGTTTTTATAAAAGTCGAAAAAATCAAAAATGCAATTTTTTTCAAACATTTCCAATGTGGCAAAGTTCATGGTCTGAAATCTTTACATGTTTTTGCTGCGACTTGTAATGAACAAGTTTCCACATTAATAAGTTGAGGCACAAAAAAAAACGCTTCTGCAGTTATCAGGACTCAAAATGATCAAGATTCAGCGTATTAACGGAAGTGATTTAACGTTATCCGCTCGGCACCTGAACATCCGTACGAAATTAAAATAATCGTTGAGACTTTTCCCACCAAACGCTTCTCAGTCGACGTTTGAAAATCCAGTCGCAGCAGAAAGTTCCCTGTGAATTTAAATAAAGTCATAAAATAAAATCCAAACTTCACTTTCTGAGACTCAGGATCCACATCCTGTCAGCTGGTGCCAATGACTCTCAGGTATGTGGCACCAGGAGTTTGTGTTCACAGGATCGAACCTGATAAAGACTCAGACTCTTCATTATCGTGACTCAGTTTAACTTACGAAACACAAAGTTTTATTTTAATGTGGTAACTCGAGACATAGACGTGTCTCGGCACCGGCTGAATTTTCCTCAGCTTTAATTAAGTCTAATCAGGATCAGGCCTGTGAGTGAACCTGCGTCTCCTCAGAGCTTCTGCTGCACTGACGGAATCAAACACATCCAGACATGACCCTTCATCTGAAAACCAGCGCTCGGCTCTTTGACCTGCACGGCACCGTGGGCCTCACGGACTGGGACCTGGACAAGGAGCTGAAACTGGCGACCATCTCCGACCAGTTTTACCAAGGTGATGAGATTTTCTTGCTTTTGTTTGAAAGAGAGATGCAGCACAGAACCCCACAGAGGACTGAAACCGATCGTCACAGAGAAGAGTCAGAAGAAAGCTCCACCTGAAGTTTCACATTTACGCTCAGGAAGAGAGGAGAAGTTTGAATCGGGTTAAAGTTTCTTGTGTGATGTTTGTGTTTCTCTGACAGATGAGAAACTGGCTGATCAGTTCGTGGTGCAGAGGCCGTCTGTCAGAGCCTCGAGGAGGAAAGATGAATTCGTTTTTTACGATAAAACATCAGGTGAGAGAGGAAGAAAACTAAAATTCTCACAAAACCAAGGTGAGAAGTTTGTTTTCTGTTTGAGAAACTTTAATTCATGAAGCATTTCCAGAGGGGTCACACTATGATTTAGGTTTTTCCTTTCTCAGTCCACTGTTATTTGTATTTTGCATTAGATTATCTGCCTCCGTATTAATCTTAACTCTTCCCTTTATCAAAATCCTGTTCTGTGTCTGAGTTTGTTATTTCCCACCAGGGCTCAAATAAAGTTATTGATGAGAATACAAATCAAATTTAAAGTCTGCCATGTTTTGCCTTTATTTGTCCGTCAGACACTTTTGTGAAGCCGAGTCCGTGGCTGCTGGTGAATCCGAACATCGTCTGTCCGATCCCGTTTGGACCAAGTGCTGCAGATCATCAGATTTCCTGTGAACCTGCGGAGGAAATCCAAACGTCTCTGCTGAATCCTGCAGACAAACAACCTGCAGCCGGAGCGGAGCTCCACATGTTTGCCCACCAGGAGGAAGTGCTGCACCCTGGTTCCACTGAGTTCATGGTACAGTTCAGTCGGCTGTTGTAATGTTTTATAACCAGCTGAATTATGTAGCCTTTATTTTGAAAAGTTGGGTCTGAAGATTGTGGAAAAAAGGACATCAGTTCAGTGAATCATTCAAACTTATACATTTAACTACGCTCGTGAAAATAAATAAAGAATATTCTCCTTCATGTGATTGAAAAGCATTGACTATACAATCTTCAGTGCAGATAAACCAGGCAGGATGAGCACAAAGTTTTCTCACTTCACTCTGATCCATCGACCGTTTATAAAAAGCTCTGTACACAAACTATGTTTTCAAGATCAAGGATGAAGACGTCTCCTGTCGACCGGCCAAGAACAGACGCAAGGGGAGGACCACCAAAGTCAGGGTGAGGACATCAGACCTGTGATCAGACACCAGGGTCACTCAGTGGGAAGCCAGAAATATGTTTATATCCTCAAACTGATGAGCAGTTCATACTGATCGTGTGCACCAATCAGCTTTTAGCAATAATTGGTTTAAATTGTGGTGACACTAATTGAACTGATGAAGCAGATTAGTTCTGGCGACACCTGGTGGCCGCTGGCCTTGTTTTTGTCCAGTTTCGTACAACTGTTCAATCAGAGTGGAGAATGAACTCACCGAAGTCGAAGAGGCTTCACGGTCTTGTGAACGTGATGTATCAGCAACACCTGGGGGGGAACTCACAACATCTGGAACAGACTGTTAATTGGACTCAAGGATGACTTGATTATAATTTGGAGGTCAAAGGTTAACGTCACTGTGAACGTGTTATCTGCAGAACGCCCTGAGGGAATCTTTTGGCCCAAATGTTGACTTGTACTCACTGAGCAATGTATTAGAATTAGGTCAAAGGTCACGGTGACCTCCTGAGTCTGATATCACAGGGCGAACATCAGACCAAGACTTTCCAGAAGATCTCATGTTTGAGCCGTAACGGCGTCGTCTTGTTTCTTCCAGTGCTCTGGAAATGTAAGAGGATAAATCCACACACACACAACGTGAGTGGAATGACTGACGGGTTTTATTTTTCACCTTTTTATTGCAGGACAGTAAGAACCTGACTCCAGAACGCTGGCCTCGTCCGCCGGTGAATTACTGCATCCTCATCGCTCTGGCGCTCAACAGCAGCCACAGCGGGAGCCTGAAGGTCCAGCAGATTTACAACTTCATCAGGTCATTATGTCATCGCGTGTGCAAACGCACCCGACAGTTTTATGTGAAGGTTAAAGGGATTTTTCATAATACATTCTGTTCACTAAAAGGAAAGAGGAACTTTTTAAAAGGCCAGTGTATCGTCTCTAACGGCGGAGTAGCAGGATTCTAACATGTTGCACCGTGGTCTGCCCTTCTCCAGAGAGCACTTCCCCTTCTTTCAGACGGCTCCAGACGGCTGGAAAAACACCATCCGACACAACCTGTGCTTCAGCAACAGCTTCCGCAAAACCTGCAACCAGCTGCGCAGAGACGAGAAGAGGAAGTCGTGCTTTTGGCACCTGACCCTGGACGGACAACGCCGGCTGAATGACGAGATCCGAACGCTGACGGTGGAATCGTTCAAGCAGCTGGAGAGGAGCATGTCGCACCCAGGTGAGGACGGATTCAGTTTGAAGAAAACTGGGTGGATCAACTGTGACTAAGATTTTAGTTCAAAGTTTTTAAGTCTTAAAGTCACAAAATGTTTATTAATGATGTGTTTCCTCTGTGTTTCAGATATAATTCAGAGTTTACTCTAAAAGCATCAATTAAATGCATAATAAAGCCAAACATGCAGATTTTTTTCTTGCACTTTATTTAATTTTCATGAATATTTGAAGATCCATGAGGAATATTTTGATTTATTTACTTAAAGTGGATTCAGGTGAAGATATTTAATTTAGCATCCCTTTGAATAAATTCATTGAGTTCGTCTGGTTTCGTTGGAGCTGCTTTCTTTACGTTTCATCGATGCAAAACATTTTCTTTTCTCTCCTGCAATTATTTGTGTTTCACAAGCTAATTAGCTAAGCTGCCTAAACCTTTAGCTATAGGTGAGCTGGGCTGTAACGCTGAATGCTAACAAACATCGCAACTGTCGGCTATTTGACGCAGCCGTGTCCAGCGGAGTGTGGACAAACATGGTGCGACCCAACTGGTGCAGGATCCTTGATGCAGATCTATTTTGCTATTTAAAAAAAATCTAATTGGCTGAAATGAACTTTCTTTACATCAACTAATGTTTTACAGCTCACTCACGTTTCCTCTTCAACTAGTTCACTGAAGCTCAACTTCACAGAAGCTGGAGAATCTTCACAAACTGGTCACCTCTATCTGAGAAAAACTGGTTGTTAATAAAATCAAATTATCACAATGATTATCTGACTGCTGCAGGGCGCTGGTCGCCTGTTTATTCAAACCTGATTTATATTCTATCACATGTCCAAATGGATCCATATTCCCCCTGCGCTCTCTTGGGCCATGAACGATCATGAAAAGTATAAAACCAAAACGATGAACATGAGGTTTCTGGAACTAAACAGATGTTCTGGAAAAGAAATCTTCGGCTGAATTTCTTGTGCTTTATCGGATGAGATATAAAACAGGATCAGTATCTGAACAATGAGCGAATATCGGCATTAACAGTGACTTATGATGAAATACTAACTTTAGATATAAATATTCTGTCTGTACTGAGTTTTCTGAGAAAAACTAAATGTAGACTCAGTAAATTTGATTTATTTTGTTTTCAGAACAGATTTCATTTTGTTGCCATGTTTAGTTTAACGTCTCCTAAACTCCCCTCCCTCAGAAAGTAATGGGACCATAAACATGTTTTATTTTACGGCTGAACGCAGGTCAATAAATCCCAAGCAGCGTTTTCTAACTTTCCTGCCGACGCCTCGCGTCTCCACGTGTAACCCTGACGACGGAACAGTACAACGATGCAGCAGGTTTCATTTGCCTGCGTCTCGTGTCTTAATGTTTTGATTGTTTCAGGTCTGTAGGTAAATCTCTCGCTCATTTGCTCAGAGTCAAATGATTTGTGCAGCTGATAGTTGACCTGCGTGTCTGCTAGTCAAATGAGTGTCCAGAGACAAAGCAGTGAGTCTTACAGCTTAAAGTTGGAGGCTGATCCAGCAGCAGAGGCTGATTCTCACTGAAGACGTCTCACATCAGGTAACGACGCAGAGCGACGCCTCGGTTATTCAGCAGAGAGTAAAATGAGAAGAAACCTTTGACTACAGATGGAATATCTTCAGTAGTGAAAAGTCTTTAAGTAAAGTGTGGAAACGAAGTAGCTCATCAATCATGACTTAAATGAAGTTATAATTTAAAATCATTTATCTCACAGATGATGTAGGTTTGTTTTGTTCATGTAGTTTTATTCACTTCTTCACTTGACATACGTTGTCTTATTGTTTGACTTCTCTAAGGGGACAGAGTGACGTCAGAGGACGATTTCTGAAGTTTGACTCCAGTTTTCTCTACTGCAGAAGTCAAAGGATCGAAGGTGGGGTTAGGGTTCCGGGGTTTGGGGGTTAGGGTCGATGTTTGTCTGACGGTGCAGCTTCATGAGGAAATATTTTCATTCACAGAAGCACATATGGTTTCATAACAGTGATGCTGTCTGTCCAGCAGTGTTATCATCATGATGATGATGATGATGATGAAGAGCGACCTCTCTGGACCCTTCCTCCTCCTCCTCCTCCTCTGCACTCCTGCGGTGTCTGGATTCGGATCAGTGCTCAGGAAACAGTATGAATATTACAGACATCCTCATTCCTCCTGGGGCGACGCTCAAAGCTTCTGCAGAGGGTGAGCTTCTCTTCCTAAGTCACATTTTTTGTTGAAATATGTAACTTGCGTTCTGTGTGTACACGTGTAGTAATGATGCTGATCATCATTGTAATAATAATAACTCTTACAAGGTGCGTCACAGAATAAAAACACAAACAATACATGATTTTAAAGTAACGTCAGAAGAAGAGGATAAAAGAAACACAAGTTAATGCAAAAAAACCTTTAAACCATTCAGTGAGATCCAGTGATCTGCAAATGTCAGT